GAAAGTCGGACGCACGACAAATGCACACCTACCTCCTTCGCGTCCATCCAAGTAGAGGCCTGCTTTGAGCCCAGTCACCATGTCCTCGATTATTGTAAAATCCTGGTTCTGGATGGCGCTGCACACCTACAAGTCAGCAAATCGGCTAAGTTTGTACCACATTCATGTAAATGCATGAGTCGGGTGTCATTTGAACAGGATAGGTCGGGTCCTGTTATTCAGTCCGGAGATGGACCATTTCCATAATCGCATCTCTAAGTCGTCTTAAAACGACTTGTTCTAAGTTAATTAAGTAAAATAATTGAAAATTGTTATAGTTCTAGTGGAACCAGCACTAACTACACGTCTCACAGATGAAAAACACAATTGGTTCAATCAACCTGTAGACATCATTTGACGATTCACCTTCAAAACTGACTGGACTTGGTGAAACACCTATCAGACAGCAACAAATTCAATGACCGCTAGACAGCAGTTCTGACTCTTAGGAGAGGCAGAATATCTATCACTAAACAATCTACTGATATATTTTTACTATTCCTACATTGCAGTCAACTATCAACTCAATCGGATTTCGAAGAGGGACAGGTTATGGAATCCACGCCGAATTGCTACTCTTAACGCCCCGGACCATGCAAACAAGCAACCCAAACACCCCTAATTTTAGAACAAACCAGGCTGACGTCTGAATCGTCGAAGTGATGCTTGACAGTCAGTGATGCTGATAAGATTTCCACCACGCCAAACGATTGATGTCCTGCCTTATTTTTGTATTCACAACAAGCGCTGGAACCCTTTGATGTCAGAACTAGTTCCTCAACTTCAAACACCCTTCTAAGTAAGATGAAATGCCTTGTCTCACCGTCGTGGTTCAGGGTAACTCATTTTTAACTAACGTAAACATCAAATGTTCCGCCACCATCTAAGTACTTCACAGGGCATAGCATCGATTGACGTGTGTTCACATTTTCCTGGATGTGAAGGCATGATTCCTCAGTCACTTTCGCACACAGCCAGTTGTCACCCATTTTCCATGTAACACCGCCTCTGGTTTCATCCAAATGATTACCTTGGAATTAGCGCCAATGTCGAGATTTTCATCAATAAAGAACTATTGTATCTACCACTGTCGAAATAAATACCTTGAAATTAGCGCCAATGTCAACATTTACAACAATGAAAAACAGCAGTAACGTCCACTGCCAGAGTGCAGGGTGTGTGAGCTATGGTGCTACTCCACCCAAAAAGCTTATTTACGATTGGAGTAAACTTCCAGACACTGCACAGACTAGATGCCTGCAGATTGTGGTGCCCGATTCCGTTTACGTCACGGCTAACCCAATGCCTAAACGTTTACGATGGTAACAACGACGACGACAAACGACGTGATAACTGAAATTCAACACCAGAATGCGGTCTACAATTGGGGCTTTTAGATCAATCGTGCAACTATCAGCTATGTCATTGCGCTCATATGGTCGTCCTAATTTCGCCATATGAAACAGAATTTTGATTGCAATGTGACAAAGAAATATACTAAAGTTGTGTTTTGTCACCTAAAAATAACATTACTAGAATACAACGAAAAAGCAGCAAGTGGCAACACCGCAACATAATCTTCCGCTACAATAAGTGTTAATGAAATTAAGCAAACGTGTGACGGCTTCAGCTCCACGTCACCTCAAACTCCGCTTCAAACAATGCCAAGACAACGCCTAGTACCACCCGAATTCGGCTATCAAGCAAACCGATGCATCTCATCGCAACATCATGCTGTGCTTAATCCACACACTGCAGCATGCAATAGCCACAGAGGTACCACCATGCATTGCATCGCTGTATCAGACTACACGAAGCACCGTCACGTGGACGACGTACATCGCTGGGTCACCTAAGGTCAAGCAAAAAGCCACCATCTACTCTGGCATGCACCAAATGCGCTTACCTGCAAAACACTAGCTCCGGCCTGCAGAAACTGCAGACCAGCCTCAGCCGAGTCTATTCCTCCTGTTGCCAGGATCGGGAAACCCGGCAGTTTGTTCGCAATGTGACTGACTGCTCTCAGCGCCATCGGACGAATGAGGTTGCCCGACAATCCGCCATACGTCGTGCGCTTCTCCTTGCCAACACTCGGCCATGGTGTGGAGTCGCTGTCCAAATGCATGAAACCCGACACCGTGTTGATGACAGTCACGCCGTCTGCACCGCCCTCCCGCGCCGCCTTCGCTATCTCCACGATCTCGCTCACATTGGGTGTCAGCTTCGCGAACACCGGCATGTTGGGTCCAGCTGCTCGCTTCACCCACTTGCAGATCTGTCGCACGAGTGCGGGATCCTGACCACAGGCCAGACCCATTCCTCGCTCTCCCATGCCGTGTGGACAGGACAGGTTCAGTTCCAGGGCATCTGGCTTCGCCTTCACCGTCAACTCCGTCAGCTGCGTCCAGTCCTGCTCGTCAAACTTCGCCATTATACTCGCAATCACCATCTTCGTGGGGAAGTCCCTCTTCAGCTCCTTTATGCTCTGTATCCAGTAGGCCGCCGTCTTCTCACTGATCAACTCTATGTTACAGAATCCCGACTGGTCAGGTCCGTACATGTGCCCTCCAGTCGGACCGCGAACTATCCTCGGCGACACATTCGTCACGAGCTCCTTGTCCAGACCAAAGGTCTTCGTCACTGCGAATCCCCAGCCTGCCTCAAATGCTCGCCGAATCATGGCACTCGATGTGGTCGGAGGGGCTGACGCCAGACCGAAGGGGTTCTCAAACCTCATGCCACACATCTCCACCGACACGTCCACCAGATCGATCGGAGTGGTGAAACGGGGCAGACAGGTAACATGGCTCTCCTCGTCTCCCAGCAGAGTGCTGTGAATGCTCCAAGCTGCCGTTTTGCCATCGTTCGTGGCCTCCACACTGGTGTGAGCAAAACCACTCAGGTCACCACCACACCACACATCCTCCTGATTTGTCCTCATACTCTTCAAGTCAACCACAGGCAGACCCTTCGAGAACCCACTCGGAGCCAATTCCACTCCCTCCATCGCTTTCAGCACTCCTGGTTCATTCAGCTCCGAGCCGTACGCAGTGATCACGTAGTCCGTCTTTATTCTGATCACCTGATCCGCGTCGGAATACCAACTGCCGTCGTCATTTTGCTCCCGTCGGATGAACTCCATCTCGCATATCTTCCCATCACTCCCCAACTTCACCCTCTGTGGCGCGAGGTTGGGGAAAAACTCGCATTTCTCCTGCCACGCCAAGTCCATTTCTTCCGGCACCGGGTTGATGGCTGTGAAGCTCTTCCGGAAAGACACAGTTACTCGCTTCGCTCCACAACGCAACGCCGACGTCGCACAGTCGAACGCCGTGTCGCCTGCTCCCAGAACCACCACTCGCTTGCCCGAGAAGTCAGGTAGTCGGGCCTTAGGACATCCCTGACATCCCTTGGATGCTGACGACACCTCGGGCAGGAAGTCCTTCGAGGTGAGGTACCCCTGATCCGGCGTGAGACCAGAGAACACCGACGTCGAGTGGGCATTCGGCAGACCAAATCCCAGGAAGATGGCTTTGTAGCCTTCCTTGCGCAGACTCGACAAGGTGATGCCGTTGGCCTCGCTGGCCGAGAATGCACGATTCGTGAAAATCTTCACACCCAAGTCGAGCAGCAGCTGCACCTCGAAGTTCACCGCCGAGCCCGGCAAACGAAACTGCGGAATCTCGCTTGTGCTCAGTCCGCCGACACGCGAGTCGCGCTCAAATATGTGCACATTGCGGTAACCCAGACGGGCCAAGTACGTGGCGCACGAGATGCTCGCTGGTCCACACCCAATCAGCGCTATCTTCTTGTCGTAGTGTGCGTTCCCCGCTGTCTTCTTCACTACTTCCGGATCCACTATCTACACGTGATGCA